ATCTGTGTATGTGTCTGTGTGTATCTGTGTATGTGTCTGTGTGTATCTGTGTGTATCTGTCTGTGGGTATCTGTGTATGTGTCTGTGTGTATGTCTGTGTATATCTGTGTATGTGTCTGTGTGTATCTGTGTATGTGTCTGTGTGTATCTGTGTATGTGTCTGTGTGTATCTGGGTATGTGTCTGCGTGTATCTGTGTATGTCTGTGAATGTGTCTGCGTGTATCTGTGTATGTGTCTGTGAATGTGTCTGTGTGTATCTGTGTATGTATGTGTGTTTTTGTGTGTAAATCTGTGTATGTATATGCGTATATGTTTGTATTTGTGTGTATATATCTGTGTATTTTGTGTGTATCTGTGTATGTACATGCGTGTATGTATCTGTGTGTATGTATCTGTGTATTGTGTGTCTATGTGTATGTATCTGCGTGTATGTGTGTGTCTATGTGTATGTATCTGTGCGTGTATGTGTGTGTCTATGTGTATGTATCTGTGTGTATCTCTGTGTATGTATCTGTGTGTTTATGTGTGTATCTCTGTGTATGTATCTATGCGTGTATGTGTGTATGTATGTATGTGGGTGTGTCTGTGTCTATCCTTGTGTACGTATTTGTGTGTATGTATCTGTGTGTATCCTTGTATATATGTATCTGTCTACGTGTCCGTGTGTATGAATCTCTGTATGTATCTGTGTATCCGTGTGTGTATGTATTTGTGTCTCTGTGTATGTATGTGTATCTGTGTGTATCCGTGGGTACGGATTTATGTGTATGTATCTCTGCGTGTGTCTGTGTATGTATCCGTGTGTATGTATCTCTGTATGGATATGTATCTGAACGTATGCATCTCTGTGTGTGTATCCGTATATGTATATATGTATATGTGTATATGTGTCTGTGTGTATGTATCTGTATATTTTGTGTGTGTGCTAATCTGTGTACAAAAGATAAAATATATTTTGTATGCATATGTGTGTATGCATCGGTGTGTATGTATCTGTGTGTATGTACCTGTATGTATCGGTGTGTATGTATATGTGTGTATGTATCGGTGTGTATGTATCTGTGTATTGTGTGTATCTGTGTCTGTATATGCGTGTATGTATGTATTTGTGTGTATGTATCTTTGTATTTTGTGTGTATCTGTGTATGTATATATATGCGTGTATGTATGTGTGTGTATGTATCGGTGTATTTTGTATGTATGTATATGCGTGTATTTATGTATTTGTATGTGTATTTTGTACGTGTATGTATAGGCGTATATGTTTGTATTTGTGTGTATGTATCTGTGTATTTTGTGTGTATCTGTGTATGTATATGCGTGTGTGTATGTTTGTATTTGTGTGTATGTATCTGTGTATTTTGTGTGTATCTGTGTATGTATATGCGTGTATGTATGTATTTGTGTGTATGTATCTGCGTATGTTGTGTGTATCTGTATATGCGTGTATGTTTGTATTTGTGTGTATGTATCTGTGTATTTTGTGTGTGTGTCTGTATATGCGTGTTTTGTATTTGTGTGTATGTATCTGCGTATTTTGTGTGTGTCTTTGTATATGCGTGTATGTATGTATCTGTATGTATGTATCTGTGTATTTTTGTGTGTCTGTGTATGTATATGCGTGTATGTTTGTATTTGTGTGTATGTATCTGTGTGTTTTGTGTGTGTCTGTGTATGTATATGCGTGTATGTATATGCGTGTATGTATATGCGTGTATGTATGTGCGTGTATGTATCTGTGTTGCACCCCTTCGCGTGCCGTGCAGGCCTTCCTAGGTGCTCCTCGCTAACAGCACTTATCCCAAAACATCTGTCGAAGGCTATACGGGAAGGTCTTTGTGCGCGTGTGTGTGTGTGATCAATGCCTCCCTGTAACCCCTATTTAACGTTCCGCATTCGACGAAATCGCCACGTGCAGCAACGGTAGGGCAGCAATTGAAACTGGACTGAAAACGGGTTACCGGTGTTGAACCCGGCTCCGTAAAGGTCGTCAGCCGCTAGCGAAGGGAGGCATTGCGTGCAGGGTTTGATTGAGCGACGAGAATTGTGCGGGATGAGTGATCGGGGTGAGTTGGGTTGGATGAGTGATCGGGGTGAGGAGTTGGGTGCGCGCGTGTGTGTGTGTGTGGGGTCGGTGAGCGAGTGAGTGGAGTGAGCGCGTCAGTGGGTGAGCGATTGTGTTGGTGGACTAACGGGTGAGTGGTCATGGGGTGAGTGTTCATTGTGGATAAGGTCGAAAACTACGTGGGGCTGGTCGAGACTCTGGTGAAGATCTACGGCACAATGGGCTGTAGGATGTCCCTCGATGTCCACATCCTTGATGCTCATCTTGATAGATTCAAGGAGAACGTGGGAGCGTACTCGGAGGAGTAAGGCGAGCGCTTCCACCAGGATAAACTGGACTTTGAACGCCGCTACCAAGGACAGTTTCACGAGAACTTGATGGGAGACTACATTTGGGGGCTGATTCGTGATAGTGATTTACAGTATAATCGTAGAGCTCTAAAAACTACTCACTTCTAAATCTGTTGTAGTCATTTTTTTTGTTATTACTTTCGTATAAATACATGTTCATTTTGATTCATATGTTGTTTTTTTCCGACTTTATGTGAACGAAAAGACACAATTTGCCCGCGTTCTCATTGAAAATATTTCAAAATATTAGTGTCATGGTCACAAAAGCAAAGTTTGTTGGGAGAATAACAGCCATTTTATATACTTTTTAGGCATAAGAAATTACGAAACAACACTTACTACCCAGGAACAAAAATTGTGTTACATAGTGTAATTGAGTGAGTGTGTAGGTGGGTGGGAGCGAGGGGGTGAGTGGATGGGTGAGCAATCGATTGAGCGATACGGTGAGTGGGTGGGTGAGTGTGTGTGGGGGTGAGTGTCTGGTTGAGTGGGTGACTTGGTGAGCGAGTAAAACAGCGAGCGAATGAATGCGTGAGCGAGTGAGCGGGTGAGCGAGTGAGCGAGTGAGTAAGTGGGCGAATGAGTGAGCGAGCGGGTGACTGGGTGAGCGAGTGAGCGGGTGACTGAGTGAGCGGGTGAGTGAGCGGGTGAGTGAGCGGGTGAGTAAGTGGACGAGTGAGTGGGTGAGTGAGTAAGTGGACGAGTGAGTGAGCGGGTGAGTGAGTTAGCGAGTGGGTAAGTGGGTGAGTGGGTAAGTGGGTGAGCGAGTGGGTGAGCGAGTGGACGAGTGAGAGTGCGGGTGAGTGGGTGAGCGAGTGGGTGAGCGAGTGACTGAGTCGGTGAGTAAGTCAGTAAGTGGACGAGTGAGTGGGTGAGTTGATACGTGAGCGAGTCAACTGGGCGAGTGATCGACTGAACGATTGAAGGAGTGATCCCATGAATGAGTTAGGAAGGAAGGAACGGAACTGATCGAGTAGTGAGTGGGTGAGTTGCCAATCTCTCTGCTCTCACACAACAACAAAAACATAGACAAAGACAATAGCACAAGACAATAACACAGACAACAACACACAGACAACAACAACACAGAAACAACAACACACAAACAACAACACACAGACAACACGCAGACAACAACACACAACAACAACAACACACAGACAACAACAACACACAGACAACAACACGCAAACAACAGCACACAGACAACAACAATAACACACAGACAACAACACACAAACAACAACACACAGACAACAACAGCACACAGACAACAACATACAGACAACAACAATAACACAGACAACAACAATAACACAGACAACAACAACACACAGACAACAACAATAACACAGACAACAACAATAACACAGACAACAACAATAACACAGACAACAACAACACACAGACAACAACAACACACAGACAACAACACACAGACAACAACAACACACAGACAACAACACACAGACAACAACAACACACAGACAACAACAACACACAGACAACAACAACAACACACAGACAACAACAACAACACAGACAACAACAACACACAGACAACAACACACAGACAACAACACACAGACAACAACAACACACAGACAACAACAACACACAGACAACAACACACAGACAACAACAACACACAGACAACAACAAACAAACAACAATAACACAGACAACAACAACACACAGACAACAACAACACACAGACAACAACAACAACACTCTGTGTCTGTCCCTGTGTCTCTGTTCGCGTCTCTGCACACGGACGTCTCTCGTTGTCTGCCGAGTTCGTCTCGGCTCGTGTCTCTGTGTCTCTGTGTGCGCGTGTCTCTGTGTCTCTGTGTGCGCGTGTCTCTGTGTGCGCGTGTCTCTGTGTCTCTGTGTGCGCGTGTCTCTGTGTCTCTGTGTGCGCGTGTCTCTGTGTCTCTGTGTGCGCGTGTCTCTGTGTCTCTGTGCGCGTCTGTGTGTCTATGTGCGTCTCTGTGTCTCTGTGCGCGCGTGCCTCTGTATCTGTCTCTGTGGCACTGTGCGTGTCTCTCTCTGTGCGTGTCTCTGTGTCTCTCTCTGTGCGTGTCTCTGTGTCTGTCGCTGTGTCTCTGTGTCTCTCTCTGTGTGCGTGTCTCTGTATCTGTCGCTGTGTCTCTGTGCGTGTCTCTGTGTCTCTCTCTCTCTGTGCGTGTCTCTGTCCGCGCGTGTCGTGTCGCGTCTCTGTACCGCGTCTCTGTGCGTCTCCCTATCCCAAACTCCGGACCAAAGCAAAGACAAAGACCCCCCGTGTAGCCTCAACAGACTGTTGGGGCAAGCGCTGTTAGCGAGCACTTTTGAAGGCCGGAACGGCACACGAAGGATGGGGGGGGGGTGGGGGAGACTGGCCAGCACCACGCCGGGCCGCCTTTGTCTCCCCAGTGGCGATGTTTACGCACCGCACACACCAGTTTGAGGCTGAGCTGACCTAGGGGAGCCCCAGGACCGGTTCAAACTCCGCACCATCATCACCACCACCACCAGCACCAACTCTATTCCTAACCCTCCACCACTACCACCAGCACCACCATCCCTCACCCCGGCCACTCACCTCCAACGTGAAGCTTCTTCATCCACGGATAAACTTGCGGCAGTAGCTGCTGCTGCTGCTGCTGCTTGATGGTTGAAGTCACCGCAACCTCGGGGCTCGAAGAGTCGCACTCTGGGATCGCGGCGTGAGCCTCGGGACTGGACGCTGGCCGTGCGTGTGCCGTCTGGCTAACGTCGGGCGACGAGCTGCTGGTGGTGGTGCTGGTGGTGGCGGTGGTGGTGGCGCTGGTGGTGCTGGTGGTGCTGGTGGTGGTGCTGGTGGTGGTGGCGTTTGGGGTCGGGTTTGCCGTGGGGTCTTCGCTATAGCCGCCGAAGACTCGCCCGGAGATGCGGTCGCTCGCCGGGTAAGCGACGGCTGCGTGCCGGGCGTCCTGCTGCTGGCGGTGATGATGATGGTGGTGATGGTGGAGGTGGTGATGGTGGTGGTGAGGAGGAGGTGGGTGGTGATGGTGGTGGTGGTGAGTTGCGGGCGAGTATGAACGCGACTCGTTGGCGGCGTTCCGGACGAGGAATCCAGCAGGCGCGCCGTGCTGATTGGGGATGTAGCTGCCCTGGGAATATTCTTCGCACGGCGGGAATTTCGGGTCGACGAAAGTCGTCTCCATCAAATATGAACTCATGGTCATTAATTGTGGCGAAGAGAGAGAGAGAGAGAGCGAGCGAGCGAGATGGACGGATATTTTTTAACACAAAAAAACCCCCGATCTCTCCCTCCCTCCCTCCCACTCTCCCTCTCACCCCGCCTTAGCGCACGTTGAGTTGCGTGCTCAACAACAACAATAATACTACTATTAGTAGTAGTCTCTAAATTAATAAATAACCCTACAGAGAGAGTGGGGGGGGGAGGAGGAGTGGGGGGGGGGGAGAAATCCACCACCCCCTCGCACCTCCCCCTAACCCCCCCCCCCATCCCCCCCATCTCCCCCCACCCCCGACGAGGATGGGCTCAGTCAGGTGCGGTGGAGGAGAGGAGGAGAGGAGAAGAGGAGGAGGAGGTGGGGGAGGGGGAGGGGGAGGATGGGCGAAGCGCTCGGCCAATGGGAGACGAGGAGGAGATCGTTCCCGGACAGCGAGAGGCGGAACAAATGGACGCACGGGTCAGGCACGCGGTCAAGTTATGATTGTGTTAGTGTGTGTGTGTGTGTTAGTGTGTGTGTTAGTGTGTGTGTTAGTGTGTGTGTGTGTTAGTGTGTGTGTTAGTGTGTGTGTGTGTTAGTGTGTGTGTTAGTGTATGTTAGTGTGTGTGTGTTAGTGTGTGTGTTAGTGTGTGTGTGTGTGTTAGTGTGTGTGTTAGTGTGTGTGTTAGTGTGTGTGTGTGTTAGTGTGTGTGTGTGTTAGTGTGTGTTAGTGTGTGTGTGTGTTAGTGTGTGTGTGTGTGTTAGTGTGTGTGTTAGTGTGTGTGTGTTAGTGTGTGTGTGTTAGTGTGTGTGTGTGTTAGTGTGTGTGTTAGTGTGTGTTAGTGTGTGTGTGTGTTAGTGTGTGTTAGTGTGTGTGTGTGTTAGTGTGTGTGTTAGTGTGTGTGTTAGTGTGTGTGTGTGTGTTAGTGTGTGTGTGTTAGTGTGTGTGTTAGTGTGTGTGTGTGTGTTAGTGTGTGGTTAGTGTGTGTGTTAGTGTGTGCGTTAGTGTGTGTGTGTGTTAGTGTGTGTGTTAGTGTGTGTGTTAGTGTGTGTGTTAGTGTTAGTGTGTGTGTTAGTGTGTGTGTTAGTGTGTGTGTGTTAGTGTGTGTGTGTTAGTGTGTGTGTGTTAGTGTGTGTGTTAGTGTGTGTGTGTTAGTGTGTGTGTGTTAGTGTGTGTGTGTTAGTGTGTGTTAGTGTGTGTGTTAGTGTGTGTGTGTGTTAGTGTGTGTTAGTGTGTGTGTGTGTTAGTGTGTGTGTGTGTTAGTGTGTGTTAGTGTGTGTGTGTGTTAGTGTGTGTGTTAGTGTGTGTTAGTGTGTGTGTGTGTTAGTGTGTGTTAGTGTGTGTGTGTGTTAGTGTGTGTGTTAGTGTGTGTGTTAGTGTGTGTGTTAGTGTGTGTGTGTGTGTTAGTGTGTGTTAGTGTGTGTGTGTGTTAGTGTGTGTGTGTGTGTTAGTGTGTGTGTTAGTGTGTGTGTGTTAGTGTGTGTGTGTTAGTGTGTGTGTTAGTGTGTGTGTGTGTTAGTGTGTGTGTTAGTGTGTGTGTTAGTGTGTGTTAGTGTGTGTGTGTGTGTTAGTGTGTGTGTGTGTGTTAGTGTGTGTGTGTGTGTTAGTGTGTGTGTTAGTGTGTGTGTGTGTGTTAGTGTGTGTGTGTGTGTTAGTGTGTGTGTGTGTGTTAGTGTGTGTGTTAGTGTGTGTGTTAGTGTGTGTGTTAGTGTGTGTGTGTTAGTGTGTGTGTGTGTGTTAGTGTGTGTGTGTTAGTGTGTGTGTGTGTGTTAGTGTGTGTGTTAGTGTGTGTGTGTTAGTGTGTGTGTGTTAGTGTGTGTGTGTTAGTGTGTGTGTTAGTGTGTGTGTGTTAGTGTGTGTGTGTGTGTTAGTGTGTGTTAGTGTGTGTGTTAGTGTGTGTGTGTTAGTGTGTGTGTTAGTGTGTGTGTGTTAGTGTGTGTGTGTTAGTGTGTGTGTGTGTTAGTGTGTGTGTTAGTGTGTGTGTGTTAGTGTGTGTGTGTGTTAGTGTGTGTGTTAGTGTGTGTGTGTTAGTGTGTGTGTTAGTGTGTGTGTTAGTGTGTGTGTTAGTGTGTGTGTGTTAGTGTGTGTGTGTTAGTGTGTGTTAGTGTGTGGTTAGTGTGTGTGTTAGTGTGTGTGTTAGTGTGTGTGTGTGTTAGTGTGTGTGTTAGTGTGTGTTAGTGTGTGTGTTAGTGTGTGTGTTAGTGTTAGTGTGTGTGTTAGTGTGTGTGTGTGTGTTAGTGTGTGTGTGTTAGTGTGTGTGTGTTAGTGTGTGTTAGTGTGTGGTTAGTGTGTGTGTTAGTGTGTGCGTTAGTGTGTGTGTGTGTTAGTGTGTGTGTTAGTGTGTGTGTTAGTGTGTGTGTTAGTGTTAGTGTGTGTGTTAGTGTGTGTGTGTGTGTTAGTGTGTGTGTGTTAGTGTGTGTGTGTTAGTGTGTGTGTGTTAGTGTGTGTGTGTTAGTGTGTGTGTGTGTTAGTGTGTGTGTATGTTAGTGTGTGTGTTAGTGTGTGTGTTAGTGTGTGTGTGTTAGTGTGTGTGTTAGTGTGTGTGTTAGTGTGTGTGTGTTAGTGTGTGTGTGTGTTAGTGTGTGTGTGTTAGTGTGTGTGTGTGTTAGTGTGTTAGTGTGTGTGTTAGTGTGTGTGTGTTAGTGTGTGTGTGTGTTAGTGTGTGTATTAGTGTGTCCGGCAAAACAACCCCCTACCTCCTCGCGGTGCCGGACGGGCAACTCTGTCGTGGACAGTGCTGTGGGGGGAGATCCAATTTTGATTGGCTCCTCCCCTCATGGCACATATGTCCACCACAGGGGCTAAACGGGGGCTCTGGATGGATGCGAGGGGCTGGTAACCCCTCCACCTTCAATTAATTACCACGAAACCACGAGTTAAACTGAAATATGTAACTAATAAGCTTGTGCCGGAAGCCCCGGGGGGCTAGGCGTCTATGACGTCTCCTGGCCAAACCCCAATTGGCGGAGCTAGGAGATTGAATACCTACCCTCGGGGCTACTCCAGAAACAACGAAAAGCCACTACGGGTGGCCACGTGGAATGTTCGAACGCTCACTGCAGAGGAGAGGCTGCCACTCATCTGTCGGGAGCTGGACCGGTACCGCCTGGATCTATGCGGCATTCAGGAGGTCCGGTGGACCGGCTCTGACTCCTGCCACCATGAGGGGTGGACAGTCCTCTACTCGGGGCAGCAGACTGCCAAACAACAGGGTGTGGCTCTTCTATTGAACAAAAGAATGAAGGGGGCGTGGGAGCGTGGCGGTGAGGTGTGGGAAGCTGTAAGCCCCAGGCTACTTTGGGCTCGCCTTCCCGTCAACCGGAGGCGTGGAATGGTGGTCGTGGTTACTTATGCCCCCACCGAAGATGAACATCCGTGGAGGGATGCAGGCAAAGCCGATGAGTCAGATGCCTTCTATGACCTCCTGTCACAGGTGCTGGCTAAAGTGGCCCCTCGGGTTAGAGTCATCATGTTGGGTGACTTCAATGCCCGAGTTGGTCATGATACTGGCACCTGGTCTGGAGTGATTGGAGGGCATGGGCCAGATCAGCTCAATAACAACGGTAGGAGGCTGCTCGATTTTTGTGCAGCCCATGGGCTAGTAATTACCAACACGCTGTTCCGGCATCGGCGCATCCACACAACATCATGGATGCATGCCGGGTCCAGGCAAGACCATCTGCTGGACTACATAGTGACGGACCAGCAGATGTGAGCCCATGTCCTTGACACCAGGACCTACCGTGGAGCTGATCTGCCCTCTGACCATCGACTAGTCATCTGTAAGATGCGCGTGCCATTCTTCCACTCCGGTGGTGGGTGTACACCCAGGACCCCATTCCGACCTAAAGTGGCCTGGTCTCAGTTATTTGATGAAAGTTGCAAGCGAGAATTTCATCATCGCTTGCGGCTGCGATTGGCATCGTCCCCGACGCCTCCTGATGTCGAGGGTAAATGGGCGAGGTTTAGGACTGTGACTCATGCAGCTGCAATGGCTGATTTAGGTGCGCGGTCCAGACCTCTGCAGAGACCCTGGCTGACAGAGGAGGTGTTCAGGATGGTTGAGAAAAAGCGACAGGCCCACTGTCATCGGCTACAGAATCCCACGGCAGAGAATGAGGAGGCTTACCGCAGCCTTCGCTCGGAGGTTCGGAGAGCCGTGAGGCGCTGCAAGGATAGGTGGTGGTCGCGGGTTGCTGAGGAGATGGAGTCTGCCTCAGTGGCCCGTCATCACAAATCTCTATTTAACTCCATCAAAAAAGTAACCTGCAGCGCCACACCTATTATCATCATTAGGGGAAAAAACGGTGATCCAATCTCCGACCCCCAGGAACAGGTTTGCAGGTTTGCTGAGTATTTCTGTGAGGTCCTGGGGGAGGGAAAATCCCTCAGCCAGGAAAACATCGTGGCACAAAGTGAGGATGACCCTGCTGAGGCTGCGGTGCCTCAAATATTGGAAGAAGTCACCCCCTATGAGTGGCTGGCTGAGGTGCTATCTCTTGAGGAAGTATTGAAGGCGATCCGGAGTCTGAGACCAGGAAAGGCAGCGGGCAGAGATGATCTCCCAAGCGAAATGCTGAGGGAGGGTGGCGTTTGTGCACAGACTGCCCTATATGACATCATAACAACAGTCTGGACCACTGGACGGGTTCCGCAGGATTGGAAGGATGCCCTGGTGGTCCCCCTTTTAAAGAAGGGGGACCGCACAGACTGTAACAACTACAGGGGCATCTCACTCCTCAGTGTTCCGGGACAGGTCCTGGCAAGGATTATTCAACATCGCCTTGCCAGGCACGCGTAGGAGAGGCTTGCGGAGCCCCAATGCGGTTTCAGGAAAGGGCGGTCCTGCATAGATGCCATATTTTCTGTCCGTCTACTACAGCAGAGGTGTAGGGAATTCCAGCAAGACCTACATCTCTGCTTTATTGACCTGGTCAAGGCCTATTGATACCATCAGTAGGTCTGGGCTCTGCGTTGTTCTTCGTGCTTTTGGAGTCCCTGACCCTCTGCTCACGATCATTAAGGACCTTAATGATGGTGAGCGGGCCAGGGTAAAAATACGTGGCCGGGAGTCAGAGCCATTCCCTGTACACCTTGGGGTGCGACAGGGATGTCCTCTGGCTCCCACATTATTTAACATCTATTTTGACCACGTAGTTCGTGAAGCCTTCAATAGCTGTACC